AGGACAAAAGCAACTAAAATTAAAATGAAAGCTGAAAATATATAAATAAAAGCTAAATAAAATATTAATAAATGCTATAATAGTATATAAACAATACTAAAATAACACTGTTGAGCATTACATTCACTATAAAAAAAATTTGAGGACTGGAAATCACTATTTTTACATTTCTGATATTTCCAAGTTCATAATTGTGCATGACTTTCATCTCTTTCTTCTCACATAAAATAATTTCAACTTGTTTTAGTTTGCAAATAGCCGTTATATTATGTCATATATTGTGATGAAGCACCTTGAGCCAGCTCTCGGCCTGTTCTTTGCTCTGTACAGCCAGCACTAGCGCCTCTCCCCCCGGCATGGAGAAACGAAGCTCGTGCTTCTTGCGGCGTCCATCTTTAGGCACGTAGATGACATTGCAGAGATTCAGGGGGAGGTCAACGTGTGGAGAACGATCTTTGGGATTCTTGAAGCACTGTGGAGAACAAATTCTATGTTTAGAGCTTGCCGAATTGACCAGATGTTAGATTGTCTCCCTTTTTTTAACAGTTCCAGTGCGATTCACCTGAAGTCTGTTCTCGCGAATTATTGTTAGCTGCTTAGCCCATTGACCGAAGCGTTTCTTGCGAAGCAGGAATGCACATTTGCGGCAGTCTTTCATTTGACCATCTGGACTCTCCTCTGTAGGCCACTGGTGTGCCCTCTCTCTGCCTTTAGCTTCCTCATCCTCTTCATCGTAGGACTCATAAGAACTGCTGAGTGCATCTGAATCATTGTCTGTTGACATCAACAGATATTAAAACTAATCTAGCACATTTTGATAGGCACAAGCATAACAAACAGCACAGGTTCCTTACAGGAGTTTTTGCTGGCCCCGTTCAGTCGAGTTGTTGGGTAATTGTTGTCAGCATCTTCATAATAAGCATCCTCTATTGAGTCTGGAGGGCTGGAGTTACCTGATAAATAAGCACACTGTGTTAGGTTTCATAAATGGCTGTTATTGTGCCTTCTTAGGCTTGAATGTGTTTGCACTTACTGCGAGTAGTTATATACTGGGGCGTTGTGCCCATTCCGAGCGGGACGGCTTCTTCATAGTAATCATCAGGAGGAGGTGTGGTAGGAAGGGGAGGTGTGTCTGTGGGACTCTGGAAAAAAACCAAAAACAATTATTAATAAATTCAAAGTTGCATGCTTTAAAATAAAATAAAAGGTTTTTGCTGTCTAAAAGACTATTATCATTTTAATTACTCTCATTTGCATACATTGACTGTAAAAAGTGAATTTATTTTCATATTTATTTTAGCTGCCGTAGACTAGTGCTCAAACGTTTTGGTCAGTACGATTTTTTAACACTTGCATTTTAAAGATTGCATTTGTTTGATCAAAAATACAGTAACAAGAGTTGTGAAATATTATTATAATTTTTTTATTTGAATATATGTTAAAATGTCATTTATTTCAGCAAGCCATGACTATAGTCTTCAGCGTCACATGAGCCTTCACAAATCATCATTCGATATTCAAGAAACATTTCTTATTATTATCAATGTTGAAACCAGTTATGCTGCTTAATATCTTTGTGGAAACTGTGATACATTTCAGGATTCAGGATTCTTTGATGAACAGAACAATTAAAAGCATTTAGCATTTATTTGAAATAGAAATCGTTTGTAACATTGCAAATGTCTTTACTGTCCCTTTTGATCAATTGAATGCATCCTCGCTGAATAAAATTACTCTTTTTTTTTTGTTTTTGTATTTCATATATATTCTTGTACCGATTTTGTGGGCGGGTGCTTGGATGCCTCGTCTTGCTCCACATCTTTCATCTCTTCGGGCGAGTCCCTGAGATCCTGCAGGTCACAGTCTGAGAACAAACATCAAAACTGAACAATCACGACACATGCAATTCATATGACATCCTGGAAATATGATTATAACGCAAACAAAGCTGCCATTCTTTCTGCTATTTTTAGCAGCACCTACTACAAGTATTTATGTATAACAACGTTTTAGGCATTGTTTCGCAAAACTAAATTCAGAAAAAATGGGAATGATTTGCACTAATGAACTGAGTAAACACAGCAATAAACTCACCAAATTCTTCAAACAATGATTCAACAAAGCTGGTACCATTTCCATAGAGAGACGTGTTCATGTATATAAAGTCAGATCCATTCACTATGAAATAAACAAACATAATTGAATTAATTTGCAATATTACAAATGTGATTTACCCTTCATACATAAATTCTTACATGAAATACAAAACAGAATGTCAATCATAACATACACTTTATTCCTATATTTTTTTGGAGTAACATTTTTAGGCTCAGAGTAACTGTGCTGTCTGAAATACTTTGACGTTGCTATAATTATGAATGTGTGGATCTCTTCAGCGGGGCCTTGGCCAAGCGTTTCTGCTCAGCTGTTATGTATTTGCTGCTCAATCTCACCGGATGGCTGCAGCTGTTTGACCAAGTTTCTGACCACACTCATCTTCTCTGCCGTGGCTGAACTCACGCTCTCGTTCTCCAGCAGCTTGAGAAGCAAACTCAGCTCCTTCACCAGGTGCTCCATACCTGCAGAGATTCAAGACAAGGACAGGATCAGGGATCAGAAACATGTTTGCAGAAGATTGCATGGGAAAATCACTAGACTTTTGGGCCCTGTTGCATTTATATACATCAGATGATCTAAATACTTAAGCAACTTTTATATTAACTTTTATTTATTTTCTAATCGTGTAACTGGGCATTTCCATTCAGCTCATTTGACCTTTTTAAAGTCCTGTCATGAAGCAAGCCTCAGCTGTTGGACATCTGATTTCTTTGGCTGTTTGTTGAGGAAACCTTGCCAAAATGCCAAACATGATATCCTGAAGGTTTAATGCAATAAACAAGCAAAGACAGGGGTATGACCTGAATTGATTTCTTATGGTAGTGCTCTTCCAAATCTGTGCATGGTGAACAATAGCTGCACTGTTATGAATGGCCTAACAAACACAGGAAACAAGAAACCCCCTAAAGAGAAACAACATTTTTAGAATGTCCTGGGATAAGCATTCACGTATATAGAGCTAGTCAACAATGCACCAGCATTTATAATGGTTGTCTGTAGGTGCGGACATATCTCATTATTCATATTTGGAAGGAAACCCGAGGAAAAGTAGCTTGAATTTCTGGCCCTGAAAAATATAGTTAGATGCTGGTTTTAAAATGCTGGTTGACATTTACTGGTGTTTTAATACTTATGTTCTCTTTGGGGTCTAAGAGACTCTGAAAAAACGTAATTTTTATAATGTTATGAGAACTTATTATAAATAAAATGTCAGCTTGATAATATGCAATAACAATTCCAAAAAGGACAAAAAAAACGGAGGGTTGAAAAAGGAAAATAATATGAATTATTTAAAAATCTTTATTTATAATGTAAGTTTAAAAATAATGTAATTATTTAAAATAGTTTAATTATTTCAATATTTTATTTGTAAAAAGAGTATATAAGTTCACTCCTGGCAGTTATCATAGCCAGATATAACCTGTATTTTTCTAAAATTAGCTATTTCTGTGCTAATTTTAAAATGACTTCTTGTTATTTTCAATACATTTTTATGTTCAAAGTGAGTAAATAATTGTTCACTGCTTGTTGGCAGTCAATTTCAGTTTTTTATCCTCATGATCAGTGGTGTAGTCTACGTGATACGCAGGTATACGCCGTATACCCACTAGGAAAGGTGAGGGATTTCCGTATGCCCACTTAAAAAAGCACGAGGATACGTAACAACATTGTTTTGTAACAGAACTTTCACATGTTCATTCATAAATTCACCCCGTCCATGTTGCGAAGCACCTACTTCTTGAAAATCACACCGTGTTTCTGTTGATGACCAGTGCTATTGCGCAAGCAGCTCAGTGTGAATCACTAAAGGAGATATGAAACGAAAGCAAACTCAAACACTTTCGGTGTTTTCGTAAGCCTGCCCCTGAAGCTGCTGCTGCTTCAGCTGCAGCAGTTGACACGGATCGCTTGAATGTGCTTAAAAAACATGCAAATGATTACGTTTCGTGAGGACGCACCAGTGGCCCCATCGGAGCAGTGACAGATCAGTCAACTGTACCGAACATCTTTCACACTGGCCTCTGGACATCAGATAGTCACTACCTGACATGGTCATGATCAAATATGTTAGCTTTGCTTGGCGGCATAAAGGAAAAGTATGCAATTATTTGTAAATTTAACTGTCTGAAAACGAAAGTAAATGAAGGGAGTTGAAAGATTTCTTACCCTGTGGCACCCTCTAGTGAACTGCAGTTGTCCTCTAGACGGCATTTTTGCTCAGCCAATGCAAGTCTATGGGACATCTTTGATTTTTGATAATTATTTATAGAAAACTTTGTCTTATCAGCTAGAAAAGATATAGAAACAAACTACAGATCAGGTCCAATGTCTCTGATGAGTTTGGTGCCTGTAGCTTTAAAGCCCTAGAAGGATATACAGTACAGTTGAAAATTATTGGTCTCAGAAGAAGAAGAATCAGTTTAAATAGTATAACAGTATGTTGGCTTTCTCAATGCAACATAGCTAATAACTTAAGTAACGTTAGTGTGGTGGATCAGTGAATGCGAGAGAAGGGGAGAGATAACACACATACTGTGTATGCGTGTGTCTACAGCAGATAAACCTAATACAATGTTTATATCTCCTTGTTTCAGATGATGAGAGAGATTAGAACTCATGACCAACGTTGTGGACTGAAAGTCAGGCTAGGGAATTTAAAAACAGGCACTCTTAAATGTGCATTGAAAATTGCCAACTGATAAAACCTATTCTCCAGGGACCATATTCTTAAGATAAATGTAACTGGCTGAGTTAAATGATTAACACTAAACAGTAAGAAATCAGTCCAGTCTCCCCAGCTGTAAATGTCATTGGCTGTTAAAGTCTTCTGTTGCTTATAATAAATTGACATGTTGATATCACATAAGCAGTCTTTCAGAATGCTCAGTTACATAGATGCATATTGTATGAATTAGTGAGTGTGGTGGTGCTTATGGGGTGTCGCTGTGGGACGGTGAGTATGACACTACAAAAAACTAGACTACACCACTGCTCATGATACATCTGCTTACTCTCAGTCTTCTCTTGCCAGTTGCATTCTGGGAAACCCAGTTCAATCGAAGTCACCTGAAGCAGTTTCAGTAAACTGTGACATACACGAGGCTCACTCTCTGATATAATCATATGACACTGATTCCATTTGATTGCACTTTGAGAATGATGAATGTATCTTTCTAATCGCCCTACTGTTACTTTTTGAATGTTCACTGAACCTTCTGAAACTAATTAGTAATATAAAAAATAAAAAAAACATTAGATGATCATCCAACTAAAATGTTCAAAAAAAGTTAACAATCTAAAAATAAATGTTTTTGAGTTAACGTTCTGAGAACGTTATTAAAGACCAGATAACTTTGAACAAAGGTTCTATTAACATAACTGGAAGAAGTTTGTTAATAACTTTAAGAAAACTTTGCCAGAACATTAGCCAAAGTTCTAAGAACGTTCCCTGTTAGCTGGGAAACAGATTAAAGAGATCAGAGTCACACATCTTTCATGCTAGGGAATAGAAAGCAGTGGTAAGTACCTGACAACTCATTTCTTTCATACAGAAACACATGTAAGCACTTCACACCACACCCGGACTCTGCTCAAAAGAGAGGGATGGGAAAAGAAAAGCCTCTTTTCAAGGCTACCTGCCACACATTTAGCTTTGCTGATCTAGGAATTATTATTCTTGGCCACAAGTAATTACTGCAATATGTGACCTTTCGCATTTGCCCTGACAGAGTTTTTTTTCTATCTGTCTGGACCAGATCAAAAAACCTGTTGCATAGCTCATGATCTTTCTTTTCTAGACCCTCACCGCTCTGAAAACAAACACTGCTTTGAAGCAGAGGTCGCAAACCGCTAAGCAAACAGGGGGAATTCAAAATAAAGGATCTTTTCTGAGCGTGCACTTCTATTTTGAGGATCATCCTGTTCATTTAATATTTCTTGGTATGCAAATGTGCGACCTACAGTACATGTAACAGAGTCCATGTTAAACATATTAATGATAATATAAATAGTAACTGAAAATAGTGCAGTTAAAAGCTGCTTAGTAATAATTAGGCTAAATATTAAACAATATAGTCTACATTAAATATTACATTTTAGCATTACTCGTTACTTATAAATTGTAGAGTGAGGATCAATGAAACAGTGAAGAATGTAAGAGAACTTGTGTCAGCATATTTACTTAGAGGGCTGTAAAAATGTGCTCTTTAACAAAAAAAACTATCCTGTGTAAGATGATACAAGATAAACAGTGGTATGAGGCCACAAATGTACAGGTGCATCTCAATAAATTAGAATGTCGTGGAAACGTTCATTTATTTCGGGGCTGAAATAAAACTGAAAATAACACCACTGATTTCTATTACTAGGTGACTTTGTGTTGTGCCATTTTTAAGGAATACTATATTTCACCCAAAAATGAAAATTTGCTGACAATTGACTCACACTCAGGACATCCAAGATGTAGATGAGTTTGTTTCTTCATCTGGAGAACACCAATGGATCCTCTGAATTAAATGATGGATTTATTTCTAACAAACATGCTGCTTTTCACTTTACAAGACTTTAATTGATTGTGGATTATAGTGATGTTTTTATCAGCTGTTTGGACTCTCATTCTGACGGCACCCATTCACTGCAGAGGATCCTTTGGTGAGCAAGTGATGTAATGCTAAATTTATCCAAATCTGTTCTGATGAAGAAACAAAAGCTGCATCCCAATTTGCATACTTATGCACAATTCTATGCCGTTTTTAGTGTGATTAGTGTGTTCGCACTGCAGCAAGAAAAAGTGTATTTCAAATGTCCAGATGATGCAATTAAGTTCCTGAAAAAAAGTGTGGAAGACTCTGATGTTGGATGATAAAATAACCTTATATAATAAGTAGTGCTGTCAAACGATTAATCGCGATTAATCGCATCCAAAATAAAAGTTTTTGTTTACATAATATATGTTTGTGTACTGTGTATATTTATTATGCATATATAAAGACACACACATACAGCATATATTTTGAAAATATTTATATGTGTTTACATGTATATATTGATATTCATATAAATTATATCATATAAAAATATATTTAATATATAAACGTAACATATTTTTCTTAAATATATACATGCATGTGTGTGTATTTATATATACATAATAAATATACACAGTACACACACATATATTATGTAAACAAAAACTTTTATTTTGGATGCGATTAATCGCGATTAATCGTTTGACAGCACTAATAATAAGTACATAGAATAAGTGCATAGTGTATAGCGCTTCATTTGGGACACAACTAAACTCATCTGCATCATCTATGTACAAAAATTCCAATCATAGTAAGTCTAATCAGTTTTAAAACAACAACAACAACGAAAGTCCACAAATCTGATAATTCTAGATAAATTAAAACATATATTCCCGAATAAACATCTAAGTGCATATTATTTAAAACATGCATTT